GGGAGGAGAGTCAGAGGGAGAAGCAGACTCCCTGCCGAGCAGGGAGCCCGATGAGGGACTCGATCCTGGGACTCCAGGATCATGACCTGAGCCAAAGGCAGTCGCTTAACCAACTGAGCCACTCAGGCGCCCTGAGACATCAGGTTTTTAATGGGTCTGAGGATTCTGTATCATTTTAATCTGGAAAGCCAAGCACTGCTCCAGGCCTACTCTGCAATTTAGATTCAACAAATATTTATTAGGAGTCCTGTATGTGCCAGAAATTTGCACATAACATTAACTTGTGATCATCAAGACAATCTTGTTGGGTATTACCAGAGCCCCGTGTCCAGACAAGGAAGTTGAGCTCAGAAAAGGTGAAAAACGATACCCAAAGCTTCCTGACTGATCGGAGTGGAACTGGAATTTGAATAGCAGTCTCCTGAATCCATAGCCTGTGTTCTTTCCCCTTTACTGCAGCTCTAGCAGAAAAGATCATCAGAGTGCTGTTTTGGTCCATCCTGGAGCCTTCCTCTAGTTTAGTTAAGTGACCTCTCCACCAGGATGACTTTGGGAGGTGACGGCACAATAAATGAACTTTGTAGAATTACAGGGTTCTAGAGACTTACTCTCATATATGCTGGGCTCTGAACTGGTCTTTCTCATTGGGTCAGAAGTACATGGTGCGTGATGGCAAACAGGTGTTTTCTTCTTGAAACAGTGTTTTCTTCTTGGTGTTTAAAGTATGATGTGATGATGAAGATCACTTGCAGTAGTACTGAACATGAAGCACTTGACAAGGTCAGAGTTCACAGCCTTTAGTGCATTCAGTGGTGTTGCCAAAGATGCCAAAAGCAGGAACGAATCACAGGCCATGTATTCAAAGATATTTCCTGGTGTTTTGGCTTAGTTTAAGTTAAGGGTTTCTAACACATTTGAAAGATTTTATTATGTTTTGGCTCCACAGGAATAGTTGAAATAGTCCTTGAAGGCTTGAGTTAATTGGAAGAGATCCTTCTTCTTGCTATCTCTTTGTCGCATCTTAGAGGATAAATGTTTTGTGAAGAGCTCTGCAAAAATAGAGAATGCTAATCATAGAAATATTGCTTACAAGAAACATAGGCACCTTAGATTCATTGCAAAAATATTTAACTTGTTGAAGCCAAATTTCACATATATTTATTTTTAGAATTCTAGACTATGGTTGGATTTGAAATCTGTATTTCCAAGCCAAAAAAATTATTTTGATAGGAAACTCTTTTTTAATCCATATATCCCCCAAAATGTTTCTCCTATATATTTTTGTATATACCTCTTTCAAGAACTGCAAAGGGTCTGACATTTTATTCTACTTGCAAGCCAACAAATTAGCCTGCCACAGTTTCATGGGTGCGGGCAGAAGACATGATACTCCTAGGTTAGAAACCAAGGACAGTTTATTACTCACAACACTAGCAGTAGCCAGAGTATCAGCATTTGTGCCAGGACCCTGAGCCTCAACTCCTGCTGGGCAGTGTGAAGAGGATCAGGTGACATCTACACATGCAGTGAGGATTATTACCGGTGAGGAACCTTGAGAGAGCGAACCCAAGTTGTTCATAATGGGCAGTAAGCATGTCCGCCTTTTCCTCCAGAGGGAAACACTATCTCTATCTTCCAGGGCTGAAAGCAAGCCTGCCCTTTGCTTCAATGCAAGACATTATCAGATTCTCCCATGGCTGTTTGCTACACATACATCCTAGAAAGGATAGTTCGGAACAAAGGCAAGTCAGTGCTTCTGCTTATAAGATGTGCACAAATGTGAGAAACTCATGGAGAATTTTCTCTCAACACTCAATTTCTGGGGGCTCCTGGCTGGCTCAGTTGGTGGAGCTTGCGACTCTTGGTCTTGGTTGTAAGTTCGAGCCCCATGTTGGGAGTAGAGATTACTTTAAAAAAATCTTTAAAGGGACACCTGTGTGGCTCAGTCATTAAGCATCTACCTTTGGCTCAGGTCATGATCCCAGCCTCCTGGGGTCGAGTCCCACATCAAGTCTCCCTCTGCCTGCCGCTCCCCCTGCTTGTGCTCTCTCTCTCTCTGACAAATAAATAAAATCTTAAAAAAAAATATTTAAAAACAAAACAAAACACTCAATTTCTGGAGTCCGAAGAAACTTTAGGACATGCTACCAGCTTGATACATTGGGTAGTAATAAAAGTTGTGCCCTATAACTTGAGTAGTCCTGTCCCTCAAATCAACTATATATCATTGGTAATTTTACCATTATAATTTCAATCCTTTGACTCAAGCTTTAGGTCTACAAATGAGCCCTTTATCTAATTACAAATACTGCTGTAAGTAGTTCCCTCCACACTTTAGTAAATAGAGGCTGGGTTTTATAAGGGAAGAATATTCCTGACACTTGAATTAAAGAAATGTGATCTTGGGGCACTTGGCTGGCTCAGTCAGTGGAGCATGCACCTCTTGGTCTCAGATTTGTGAGTTCAAGCCCCACAGTGAGTGTAGAGATTAACTAAAAATAAAATCTTAAAAAAAGAGAGAGATGTGATCTTGAGGCTTGGTTTGGCACTGAGTGCATTGGCCCTCAGTTTCTCTGTTAAATATTAAAAACTAGAAAACCATGGAGAAATGCTTTAAAAATTCTGAGAGAAAATGCTTAACAAACAAAAATTCTATACCTATCTAAACATGAGGGTAAATGTGTTTTCAGATATGTGAGGTCTCAACAGAGTTACTGCCCCTGCCTCCTTTTTCAGAAAAATATGGAAGGATATGCTCCATGAAACTGAACAAGTAAAATAAGGAAGAAGAAGGCATGAAATAAAAAAAGATAAGGGATCTAACACAGGATGGAGGCAAAGGGAATTTCCAAAATAATGCAGAAGGAAGCCCCACAGTGGTAGGTATCAAGAAACCTAGAAAACAATTCATCCAGATTGTAATGGAAGAACAGAGGAGTTGTTAGAGAAGTCTCCAGGAAACAAATTAAACTGAAGGATTATATGAGGTGTTGAACCACATTGAGAGGAGTTTTCAGTTCTTTTTTTTTTTTTTTAAGATTTTTTTATTTATTTGACAGAGAGAGACACAGTGAGAGAGGGAACACAAGGAGGAGTGGGAGAGGGAGAAGCAGGCTTCCCACGGAGCAGGGAGCCCGATGTAGGGCTCAATCCCAGGACCCTGGGATCATGACCCGAGCCGAAGGCAGATGCTTAACGAACGACTGAGCCACACAGGCGCCCCGAGGAGTTTTCAGTTCTAATGGAGAGTTTGAGAATGAGTTGATGATAGGTATATAGAAAATCAGGCAACAACAACAACAAAAAAAATAGAGGAAAATATAAACTTTTAGGAAATGAAAAGTTGTACAAAAAATATAATATATTGCATGACTGAGCTGTAAACAATATTAATAGATTAATAATAATGTAATCTTCAATTATGGGTTTAGCTTAAAAGTATGCTGTAATTAACACTGGGAAGATGGAGAATGGGAAATATGTGTATGTTTTTGGGTGTGTGTGGGGATGTGTTAAAAGAGGTAATTCCTCATCTCCCATAGAAGGAAGCAAATAATGTTTAAAATACAAAAATTAAGAAATAACAGTATAAGCACATTATTTGTCAAATGGGTGTAAACACTGAAAGACACAGTTAAAAGAACTGAAAGCGGTTACCACAGGGAAACAGGAATAGGGGCTGGGAAAGCGTGCGCAAGAGGACTGCTTTTTGTCAAGTTTTAGTTTTTAAATGAAGTGCATGTATTGCTTTGATCAAAATTAAAATTAACAATGTAATGTATTCACTGGCCCATTGCCAGTGAAATGTTTAGCAGAGATTAGTTGCAATTAGAAATGGGATGGAGCCTCGTGGAATAAAGGGGGCACATACCACAAGCAGAAGGTGATGCTATTAGGAGAGCTGAGAATTATATTTCTGCCTCTTTTACATTTTTTTTCTAGGGCCAACCTGGGCAACATCTTTGATCTTACATCATAAACTATGTTAGGACATTAATCACATTTGAAAACTCTACTAACTTGTGCAGGACACCAAAGTCTATATGGCAAGTCAGTATTGCAGCTCAGTAAATGCTATCATCTCAGCTTGATTAAGTTAATGCATCTTTGCTGAATGCCTCATGCAGTATCCATGGGTCCTCTGACTCCCTGGAGGAATATTGCTGCATTGCTTATTGCATACATGTACGGGGGAGAGCAGGTGATGAACCCATTCTTAGGTTTCTGTAGGTCTAGAATCTAAACTAGCAGTCTCCTAGGTAAAGATGACTTCTGATTCAACTTTCTGAGCTGCATCTGGCAATTGTTATTGCTCAATAAACATTATGCTAGTAATGCTTGGAGGGCTGGGACGCTTGCAGTTTAGACAAAACTGTTGCCAACTGTGTGGAAATTAACTCGAACTGCTCTCATATTTCTAGCTGCCTCTCAAATGTTGAACCTCTCCTGGGCTGCTTATCATGTGCTACCTGCATGGCTTCACTTCTCAGGACAGTTCAGCTAATATGGGTTTCGGAACTCTGTGAGAGCCACAGCTTCTGCTTTATGGATTATGTGCGGTTTTGGGTGAAAACTGTCTAATAAGGTGGAGAGGTGGATGGTAGGAAAGGAGTGGTATAAGAAAACTACAGTAGAGTTGTCAATGGTGCGCCTGGGTGGCTCAGTCGGTTAAGCGTCTGCCTTCAGCTCAGCTCATGATCCCGGGGTCCTGGGATCGAGCCCCACGTCGGGCTCCCTGCTCCGTGGAGAGCCTCCTTCTCCCTCTCCCTCTGCCTGCCACTCTGCCTACTTGTGCTCTCTCTCTCTGTCAAATAAATAAAGTCTTTAAAAAAAAATTATTTTCTCAAGAAAAGATTTCTTAAATCAATGATTCTACGAAAGCCAAAGCTTTGTGTAGCTTCAGAGGCAATAACATATGAATAATTTGATTTTTAAGTGGCTTCCTATGTGCCATGTTTGGAAGTCATAAATATGTAATGAATTATATTTTATACTTTCAGCACAAGAATCCATTAGCAACATGATGTCGGATATTTTCTATAATCTCTGTCTCCTCACACCTTGGTGGGATCTTCGTAATTAAGGTAAGATCTTAGGATCATAGTATCTAAGGAATGATTACTGATAATTTAGGAGAAGGAATATCTCTTCACATTTGTGTTTATTTAACTTTGCATTTGCTAGAATTACGTCCTATGCATATTTAAAGGATTTGTTACTGGCTTATCTATAAGGCATGCTTCAAGAGCTGTTATTGAAATTCATATAATGCTAAATTTAGTTGAATGCTAAATTCATTGAAATGAATTTAGAACAAGATCACCCTTTTGGATGGCAGTGCTTTTGGGCGCCTGGGTGGCTCAGTCTGTTAAGAGTCTGCCTTCGGCTCAGGTCATGATCCCAGGGTTCTGGGATTGGGGCCTGCATTGGGCTCCTTGCTCAGTGGGGAGCCTGCTTCTCCCTCTCCTGCTCCCCCTGTTTGTGCTCTCTCTCTATCAAATAAATAAATAGAATCTTAAAAAAAAAAAAGATGGATGGCAGTGCTTTTATTCTTCTCACCCACAGATTCTCACTGAGATGTACCGTTGAATTCAGTGGGTATTGTACTTGCCTCAGACTGGAAGGAAGTGAAGTAACAATTCACTTAGAATTTTTTTTTTTTTAATTTTTTTTTGTAGTTTTTAATTTTATTATGTTATGTTAGTCACCATACAATACATTGTTAGTTTTTGATGTAGTGATCCATGATCCATTGTTTTCGTATAACACCCAGTGCTCCATGCAGTATGTGCCCTCCTTAATACCCATCACCGGGCTAAGCAATTCCCCTCCCCCCTCCCCTCTAAAACCCTGTTTGTTTCTCAGGTCCATAGTCTCTCATGGTTCATCTCTCCCTCCAATTCCCCCTGCCCATTTTTAAATTCCTTCTCCTAATGTCCTCCATGTTATTCCTTATGTTCCACAGATAAGTGAAACCATATGATAATTGACTTTCTCTGCCTGACTTATTTCACTTAGCATAATCTCCTCCAGTCCCATCCATGTTGATGTAAAAGTTGGGTATTCATCTTTTCTGATGGCTGAGTAATATTCCATTGTATATATGGACCACATCTTCTTTATCCATTCATCTGTTGAAGGGCATCTCGGCTCTTTCCACAGTTTGGCTACTGTGGACATTGCTGCTATGAACGTTGGGGTGCATATGGCCCTTCTTTTCACTACATCTGTGTCTTTGGGGTAAATACCCAGTGGTGCAATTGCTGGGTCATAGGGTAGCTCTATTTTTAAATTTTTGAGGCACCTCCACACTGTTTTCCAAAGTGGCTGTACCCAACTTGCATTCCCACCACCAGTGTAAGAGGGTTCCCCTTTCTCCACAACCTCTCCAACATTTGTTGTTTCTTTCCCTGTCCATTTTTGCCATTCTAACTGGTGTAAGGTGGTATCTCAGTGTGGTTTTGATTTGGATTTCCCTGATGGCTAATGATGAACATTTTTTCATGTGTCTGTTAGCCATTCGTATGTCTTCTTCAGAGAAGTGTCTGTTCTTCTTTTCTGCCCACTTTTTGACTTGATTATTTGTTTTCACTTAGAATTCTTTTTGATATTCATTATTATAGTCCCAGTTAGGGTGATTTCTGTTAACACCATCAGCTGTTGCCTTGAACTCTGAAGGTTACAGGAAGATGAGTTGGGCAGGAGTTTGGATGAGCAGGTTTAATGGAGCTGAGTGGTACCCCATTCTTAATTGAGAAGCATGTGCCTGCACCTTGAATCAGTCCTACAAGAGTAAATAGGTTTAGATAACAATCAGGTATTTTCCCACTAGCTTGCAGAACATCTTTTTCTCCCCGATATTTTTCAGGTCAATGAGAACACATCAGAGGACTTTATCTAGTCATTGTCAAATATCTTGGTTTTTTTTGTGTGTTTTTTTAAAATTTTCACTTATTTAAGCAATCTCTACACCCAACATGGGGCTCAAACTCATGACCCCCGAGATCAAGAGTCCCATGCTCTTCCGACTGAGCCAGCCAGGTGCCCCATTGTCAACTTGTTTCTTATTATTTCCCTGCTGGGCGCTGTCAGTACTACAGTTCCTGCAGGGTTGGGCATTCATTCATTCATTCATTCAACGTTTTTTTTGGTCTTCTTCCTGTGTGTCAGGCACTGTGCTTGGTGCTGGATACCGGATGCCGAAGTAAACAAGGTCTCTGCTCTCATGGAACTTCAATTATATTGCGGGAAGGCAAATCCCAAGGACAGATAATTTTGAGTAGTGATAGACTGGAAAACAACCAAAGTAAGACCTAATGGCTACATGAGAGGCTGCTCTGAGTAGGGGAGCTCAGGAATGGCAATTCTGAGGAAGCCCCATGTGAGCAGAGACCTGAATGAGAAGTAGGAGCCGGCCAGATGAGGGTCCAGGGAAACATGAAACTTAGTGTGGGGACAAGAGCGGTAGTATGTGCTCGGTTAGGAGGTACAGCATCATTGATTTAAGGAACTAGTTACTAGATAAGGGTGAGTGGAGAATTTGCAGTTAATATGGTTTTAAAAGTATAAACAACTGGACACTGGTTTTCATACCCTTAGGACAAGAAGGGAGTAGCGAGGCAAAAAACTGCTAGTTGACTTCCAAATGCCTTCTCTCCCTCTTAGTAACAGTATTTCTAAGTAGACGCACCATTTAGAAGCACCGTATCAGCACGGCATGGCTTATACCTGGACTGTCATATGAGAGGAAAATAAACTGCAATCTTACTTAATTTGCCACCAAGTTGGATCTTGTGATGCAGCTGACTCTATATGCTGCCTATAGCATGGGTTAAAACAATACATGGGCTAGCAACAAGATTGAAAGGAAAGAAAGACCACCTGTAATCCCACTTTTCTAATACAACTATCTTCAAATTTTTTTTTTTTTTTTTAAGATTTTATTTATTTATTTGCCAGAGAGGGAGAGAGCACAAGCAGGGGGAGTGGCAGGCAGAGGGAGAAGCAGGCTCTCCACGGAGCAGGGAGCCCGACGCGGGGCTCGATCCCAGGACCCCAGGATCATGACCTGAGCCAAAGGCAGACGCTTAACCGACGGAGCCACCCAGGCGTCCCTATCTTCAGATTTCTATGTTATCTTCTGTGCCTCATCCTCATGCATGTTTTTTATGTAATTGTTAATGTGTTTACATACCATTTGGCATCGTGCTTCTTAAAGATTTTTAATCATGTTACATATTCTTTTTTTCTTTTTAAGATTTTATTTATTTATTTTAGAGGGGGCTGGTGAGGAGCAGAGGGTGAAAGAATCTCAGGTGGACTCTGTGCCAAAAGCAGAGCCCCACACAGGGCTCGATCTCATGACCAGATCATGACTTGAGCCAAAACCAGGAGTTGGACGCTTAACCTACTGAGCCACCCAGGAGCCCCTGTTACATATTCTATGTTTTAATATAGTTGTCAGTTATTTTTAGCAGCTTTATATCATTATAAAGTGTTGCTGTACTATAACTTATGAATATATTCAAGGAGCAAATTTTTAAAAATTAGGTTTACTGGGGTGCCTGGCTGGTTCAGTTGGCAGAGCATGGGACTCTTGATCTCAGGGTTGTGAGTTCAAGCCCCATGTTGGGTGTGGAGCCTACTGAAAAATTAAAAAAAAAAAAAGGTTTATTGGTGATCTGGTTGTTGATTTTTTGTTGTTGATTTTCTAATCTGGTTGGGTCTATGAGTGTCTCCTAAATGCTCAGCATGAGTCTGAAATATATACTTGGTAGGAGTTGAGTATAACAGGTCATCGATTAATGTTAGCTGGCATCATTATTTTTGTTATTAGGATTGGACTCCATTGTCTATCCCTAGAGATGGGAAAGTAGAGAACAAGACCTGGTTTGAAATGGCAGCTGGGGCATGCTGGAGGACAATGATGCAGAAAACCTTAAATGAGCTGTAACAAATCAATCCTCATGTACCATTTGTAAGACATCTAGTTGTTAGATACAAGATTTGTGAGTTGTGCTTATTCTTCAGATATTCTGGGCTGGAATGCCGACTCAGCCTCTTCTTCATCTTTAACCATGTCTTCTTTCCCTTTACTCTGACTGCTTTACCCCATTTTGTATGGTTTCAGGGTCACTTGTGACTTTAATGTTTTGGATGTCCTAATAGAAGTGAATCATAAAGAAGAGCATTCCACAAATTGACTTTGAAATCTCTAATTTAGTATTGTTATAGCTAAAGGTCTAATATGGCATTGAGTGGAGATGGTAGGGTTCTCATTTGAGTGAACTTCTACTAAAAAGTATATTTTAGAATTTTAAAATTCGTTTTTATTAAAGTTGCGTTTTAATTAAAATTGCATATAGGTAATATAATCATATTACTTCAAAGACCATAAAGTATAAAAAGTATACAGCGATATGTCTCCCCCAACATCCTCATCTGCCCAGTCCCCCACTCCCCTCGAAATTAACCACTTATTCATAACTTCTTCCTTTCAGAGTTTCCTGATGTACATATAAGCAAATATAAATATAGGTTCTATTTTCCCTCTTTTTTCACATTCTTCTATATCTTAAGAAGTATGTTTTGAAGAAATGGATTTTCAGTATATTTTCAACACATAAAATTTGATAGTAGTTCCTGGTAATATTATAGGTGTGATTAAATTTCAAGGGCATATTCAGAGCCTAGAACTTAGACTTATTTTCTTTTTTGAAAATTCACTGAGGGGCACCTGGGTGGCTCAGTCAGTTAAGTGTCTGCCTTCAGATCAGGTCATGATCCCACGATCCTGGTTGAGCCCGGCATTCAGCAGGGAGTCTGCTTCTCCCACTCCCTCTGTCCTTCCCCTGCTCATGCTGTCTCTCTAATAATTAAATAAAATCTTTAAAAAAGAAAAAAAGAGAATTCACTGAAATAACCCTATAAGTAAATTTCATGTAATTTATGCTGCTAAAAATAAAAGAACACAGTTAAATGGTCAGAATACAGCTGGAAAACGCATCAGATTTCAAAGTCCAGGTTTTCACAGCTGTGCAGCACTTATAGCCCAAGTGTTTATGTCACTAAAACAATATCATTGCTGGGTATCCTATAAAAGATGTCACATTTCATGTTTATACCTTGCCATTTTTGATTTGGGATCAACAAGATCTAAAACCATTTAGTTTAAGAGCATAGAGGGCTGAAAATATGATATTCTTTTGGAGGTAACAGAAACTCCAAATCAAAGTGGCTTGAATGATAAATAAATTTCTTGCTTCTTATAAACCTGAAGTCCAGTGGAAGATTGGGCTTCTGGACTGATTGATATAGTAGTTCAATTCACCAAGGACCTGTGTTCTTTCTGTCTTTGCTCTCTGCTATCAATAGTGTCTACTTTATTTTCAGGCTAATTTTTCTCATATCTCTACTTACAAGTAGGAATTGGGATTATTTATTCTCCCAAAATGGAGTGGTGTAGAGTGGGGAGAGACCACCAGGATGCTGAACATCCAGAAATTCGGGGGAACCATCCCTCAGTTGAGACTCAAGAATGAACCACCATGAATGTGCTCAGTGAGTTTTGCAATGAATGGATAAAGAGCATGTGAGCAAGTGTGCTTATATAGAGACTACAGTATATCTTGTTCAAGGTCAGCAGTTCTCAACTGAGGCTGTACACTGGAATCACTGGGGAGACTAAAATTGAAAACAGTGATGCCCAAGTCTACTTCCCAGAGATTCTGATTCATTTGTCCAGGGCTGGAGCCCAGATATTAGAATTTTTAAAATGTTCTCCAGGGGATTCTACTGAGCAGCCAGGATTGAGAACCATCTTCTAAGAATTGAGAGACTAGTATTCTTAGGAAGAATAAAACAGAGAAGTCAAACATAGTGTTAAGTTTTATTTTATTTTTATATATTTATTTTTCATAGGTGTTATGTTTTAATTCTTAATGCAAAAATATTGGCAGATGATAAAACTGGTTGTCAAACACCCCACATTTATTAGGTACTTAATTAGCAATAAAGCTAAAAACAGTCCAGTATTCTAATGAAAATAAAGACAGAATCAAACAATATATGTTTTTATTTTGATAACAAAAATAAGTTAGAAATACATTATCCTCCTTTCTTTACTAATTAACAGCATATTTGCAAGTTCCCCCAACTCTTGAGTCCACTCCTTGCCCTCTAATCCCATTGCTCTTACCTGAAATCAGCCCATCACAGTCTTTCCCCTGTCTCACTGTGCAATCTCCTCATTGGATTTGGTATTTCTTCCTTCCACTCTTTCTTTCACAAAGCTTCTAGATCAATGATTAATAAAGCTATTATCATTATCAATCATATTACCCCTCTGCTGAAAAAAATCTCCAATTCTTTATCCTGGCCTCTATGGTGTGATCCAAACCTGCCTTTTTTGTCTTATCTCACACTTTCCCCTTTCATTTACTCCATGCTTTAGTCAAACTGAATTAGACACTGTATCATAAACACATCCTATTTACCCACTCTGCCTATAGCACCCTGTTTAAACTTACCTTTTCCATATAATATTGTCTGGTAATTCAATTGAAAGAAATATTTTCTTTCTCAAAGGCCCATAGCAGTTTAACTCACTTTATCTTGTGGCATGTATCTTGTTCTACTGTGCAATATAGTGATGTGTGTACATGACTTACCTTACAGACTGACATCTTTGTGTCTTCTTTGCTTATATTTGTTGAATGGATGAGCGAGCTTTCCAGTTTCTTCTCCTTATGAACTTTAGACTAGTTCTGCATGTTTCTATTGTTCCAGACCATTTGAATGAGTTTAATAGGAGAGACTGGTGATAACAATGTCTCATGTCTTGGCTGGCAGCTTGGTAATGTTTACTATTTTCTGACTAGTTCTATAGATAGTTTTTTTTTTTTAAGTTTTTGTTTATTTATTTATTTAAGTAATCGCTATACCCAGTGTGGGCCTTGAGCTCACAACCTCGACATCAAGAGCCGCATGCCCTTCCGACCGAGCCAGCCAGTCGCCCCTCTATAGTGACTATTGAATGCCTGTTGTGTGTGTGCCAGGCAGACAGATGTAATCTATAATTCCCATGACAATGATCTGATTCTCATCTTTCAAAGGAGTACACTGGTACTCAGAGTAAGTAACTTGCCCAAGTTCTGGCATAAATTGACAGAGCTGAAATTCCGGACTTGCTCTGTTTCTCTCCAAAACTATACAGTTCAGGGTTAAAGCTGAAAACAGAGATGGTAGCTAGGTTATCAGGCTACTGATTCCCCCCCACCCCCAATACATCCAGACAAGGTCAGGTTCCCATCTGCTCATTCACACATCAAGTCTATTCTGACTCTATTCCCAGGTCTACTAGGAAAGCTACTTCTCATCCAAATGCACAATTAAGCAAAGAAAAGCCAAATCTGCATTAGATACCTTGAATCTAGCCCAATCCAATCCTGCAGAAACCATTAGGATTTAATAATAGGGACTGAGAGACATCGAAATGAGCGAATACAGAGCTGTTGATGAGAGATGGAATTTCATGGGGGTAAACAAAATTGGTATGAGAGCTCAGCCTATGTATTCAGCCTCTCTCTCACTTCTTACATATTCATAGGACATAAAGGTTGTTCCCACATGACCTCAAACTTTCAGTTTCAAAGTGAATTTGAATTTGAATTTGTTACCTGACTATTCCAAAAATAATCAGATTTGTTTTTAGTCTTCAAGATGTTTACTTAATATTTTCACTTCTCATCCAGAGACAACCTTCCAGGAAACTATGAACATCAGTTGAATAAACACAATTCTAGTCCTATAGAGTAAGGCCTAGAGAATGAAATTTAATAGGAATTTGACAACCTAGTTCTAAAGCTGTTACTAGAATAGGGTTATTATTTAGTTCAACAGAGAGGAGGACATCATTTTTCTTACTCAAAAGTGTCCTGCAACTACAAATTCCTATCCTGAGTCACTCATGTGAAGGCCAAGTGTGAACCCAAGAGGTAAGAGCAGCAGGGAAAGAGCCTCTTTTTTAAACATCTGAGCAAGAACTGTGGGCACCAATCTGATTTGACAGCCTATGGGAGATTGAGAGAGACAGTTTTTGCCAACAGATTTTTTGTAGAGGAGAGCTGTAACTTTAATCCTCACATAAGCTTCATCTACTTTCTGGATGCTCTATAGAGTGACTGTCACAGCTGAGGTCAAGACTAAGCCTTGCAGAGTTAGAACCACTCTCTATCAGAGATGCTTTTTTGTCTCTCAAGTAATAATACACAACTAGACACAGTGGCTACCCAGGTACCACAGAGATTTTGTGATGAGATGTGAAACTAAAGATAAAGCATTTCCAAGAATCTCTAAAATACAGGAACTGCACTGGTTGCAGTGTGCTGGGCCTTTTATTAGTGGACACCTGTATTAGTCTCCGTAACTGTTGGCTAATGAGTCCCAATTGACATATATATAGAAACAATATCAAATTGGTCATAAATGTGACTTTTACTCTAAGTCGGAGAAAAAATTAGATGGCCAGAATAATAGGCTGATATTTGATGCTTACCAGGTTCTCAATATTTACATCTTTTTAAGAATTTTCTGTAGGCTTTCCCCGTTTGTCTTTCCTAATTAGCCTGAGAGTATAGGTCAGTGGCTAGATAATGTTACCACAAAGTAAGAAGTTAAAGTTCAATTCCTAGCACAACATGGAGTTACTGTTGAGCAACATAAAGTCTCCTTATTTTTGTTTTTTGATTTATAAAACTGGGAGATTAATATCTTCATCTCATAGGAAAGCTGTGAGACTAAATTAAATTAATAACCAATAAATACGGAAAAGCTCTGAGCAAATGAATAAGAAGTTATTAAGTACATTTATTTATAAACAGGTTTCAAGAATAGTGGGATATAAATAAGTACAAAGTTTT